CTGGAACCCCCTCCCGAAGCAAAACGGCTTTGTCGGGGATGGGGGGGGGGGTGCCCGAGCTCCCAAAAATGACAATTTTCCAAATGAAATCTCTTATTGAAGGGTTTGTTTTTCGCGGCTGGGCCCTGCCGCGCAGCGTCGGCAGGTCTCAAATGGATTTTCACACCGGAACCGCTCCAAGGTGAAAATCCATCTGGAACGCCCTCCCGACGCAAAACGGCTCTGTCGGAGATGGGGGGGCGTGCCCGAGCTCCCAAAATGGCAATTTTCCAAATGAAATCTCTTATTTGGGAGCTCGTTTTTCGCGGCTGGGCCCTGCCGCGCAGCGTCGGGAGGTCCCAGATGGATTTTCGCCCCGGATCCGTCCAGTGTGAAAATCCATCTGGAACCCCTTCCCGACGCAAAGTTTCCAAATGAAATCTCTCATTGGAGAGCTTGTTTTTCGCGGCTGGGCCCTGCCGCGCAGCGTCGGGAGGCCCCAAATGGATTTTCACCCCGGAACCGCTTCAGGGTGAAAATCCATCTGGGACCCTCTCCCGACGCAAAACGGCTCTGTCGGGGATGGGGGGTGGCGTGCCCGAGCTCGCAAAAATTGTCTGTTTTTCAAATGAAAGAATCCTTATTGGGGTGCTCGTTTTTTTCGCGCTGGGCCCTGCCGCGCAAGCGTCGGGAGGTCCCAAATTGGATTTTCACCCCGGAAGACCTTCAAAACCAAAAAGGGTGGGATCCTCTGGGCCCTCTCCCGACGCAAAACGGCTCTGTCGGGGATGGGGGGGGTGCCCGAGCACCCAAGATGGCATTTTCCAAATGAAATCTCTTATTGGGGAGCTCGTTTTTCGCGGCTGGGCCCTTCCGCGCAGCGTCGGGAGGTCCCAAATGGATTTTCACCCCGGAACCGTTCCAGGGTGAAAATGCATCTGGAACCCCCTCCCGACGCAAAACGGCTCTGTCGGGGATGGGGGGGCGTGCCCGAGCTCCCAAGATGACAATTTTCCAAATGAAATCTCTTATTGGGGAGCTCGTTTTTCGCGGCTGGGCCCTGCCGCGCAGCGTCGGGAGGTCCCAGATGGATTTTTACCCCGGAACCGTTCCAGGGTGAAAATCCATCTGGAACCCCCTCCCGACGCAAAACGGCTTTGTCGGGGATGGGGGAGCGTGCCCGAGCTCCCAAAATGGCAATTTTCCAAATGAAATCTCTTATTTGGGAACTCGTTTTTCGCGGCTGGGCCCTGCCGCGCAGCGTCGGGAGGTCCCAAATGGATTTTCACACCGGAACCGTTCCAATGTGAAAATCCATCTGGAATCCTCTCCCGACGCAAAACGGCTCTGTCGGAGATGGGGGGGGGGTCCGAGCTCCCAAAATGGCCATTTTCCAAATAAGATCTCTTATTGGAGAGCTTGTTTTTCGCGGCTGGGCCCTGCCGCGCAGCGTCGGGAGGTCCCAGATGGATTTTCACCCCGGAACCGCTCCAGGGTGAAAATCCATCTGGAACCCCCTCCCGACGCAATGCGGCTCTGTCGGGGATGGGGGGGGAGGGTGTGTACCCGAGCTCCCAAAATTGCCATTTTCCACATGGAATCTCTTATTGGGGAGTTTTTCGCGGCTGGGCCCTCCCGCGCAGCGTCGGGAGGTCCCAGATGGATTTTCACCCCAGAACCGTTCCAAGGTGAAAATCCATTTGGAACCCCCTCCCGACGCAAAGCGGCTCTGTCGGGGATGGGGGGGGTGTACCCGAGCTCCCAGAATGGCTATTTTCCAAATGAAATCTCTTATTGGGGAGCTCGTTTTTCGCGGCTGGGCCCTGCCGCGCAGCGTCGGGAGGTCCCAAATGGATTTTCACCCCGGAACCGTTCCAGGGTGAAAATCCATCTGGACCCCTTCCCTACGCAAAAACGGCTCTGTCGGGGATGGGGGGGGGGCGTGTCCGAGCTCCCAAAATGGCAATTTTCCAAATGACATCTCTTATAGGGGAGCTCGTTTTTCGCGGCTGGACCCTGCCGCGCAGCGTCGGGAGGTCCCAAATGGATTTTCACACCGGAGCCGTTCCAAGGTGAAAATCCATCTGGAACCCTCTCCCGACGCAAAACGGCTCTGTCGGGGACGGGGGGGGGGGTCCGAGCTCCCAAAATGGCGATTTTCCAAATGAGATCTCTTATTGGGGAGCTTGTTTTTCGCGGCTGGGCCCTACCGCGCAGCGTCGGGAGGTCCCAAGTGGATTTTCACTTCGGAACCGTTCCAGGGTGAAAATCCATCTGGAACCCTCTCCCGACGCAAAACGGCTCTCTTGGTGGCTTCTGTGAGGAGCCCAATCAGAGCTTCTGTAAGGAGTCCAGTGAGGGCTTCTGCAAGGAGCCCAGTGAAGGCTTCTGCAAGGAGCCCAGTGAGGGCTTCTGCAAGGAGCCCAGTGAGGGCTTCTGTAAGGAGCCCACTAAGGGCTTCTGTAAGGAGGCCACTGAGGGCTTCTGTAAGGAGGCCACTAAGGGCTTCTGTAAGGAGGCCACTGAGGGCTTCTGTAAGGAGCCCACTAAGGGCTTCTGTAAGGACCCCTCTAAGGGCTTCTGGAAGGAGCCCACTAAGGGCTTCTGGAAGGAGCCCACTCAGGGCTTCTGGAAGGAGCCCCATAAGAGCTTCTGGAAGGAGCCCACTAAGGGCTTTTTACAGGGGCCCAGGAAGGAGCTGAGAAGCCTTCTGGGAGGAGCTCAAAATTGGTCGAGATGGGTTTTCACCCCGGAACGGTTCCAGGGTGATACTGCAACCTGAAACAGTCAGTGTCCAGCTTCCAGAATCACCCCAGAACGGTTCCAGGTGATTCCGGAACTTGAAACGGAGGATTTTGCGCGCGGCAGCCGTTCCAAGCTCGACGCCGCCTGGAGCGGGCCCCGTCCTCCGCGAGCTCGGCGCGAGCGACCGCCCGCGCCCGCGCGTTCGGCGCGGGCCCGGGCGCAGCCGGGGCGGCTGTCCGCCGGGCGGGGTTCTCCGAGCCTCGGGGGCGGCTTCGTGTCGGAGAGCACGTAGAAGGGCCCCTGCTCCGCCCAGGCCCCACTCGGGTCGTCTGCCGCGCCCGCGCCCTGGGCGGGGGTGCCCCTCGCCCGCCGCTGCCTTAACGCGCCGGCGATAGCTTCGCCTGCTAACTGTTAGCGTCCGGCTGCATCTCCCGGCGCCCCGAGCCCGTTGCCTTCTCGCCCCCGCGGCGGCGCCGCGTTCGACCGCCTCTCAAACCCGCGGCGCCCTTCGCGCTGCCTTCGCCTGCGAGCAGCCCGCGGCGTGGCGTGCCTGGCGCGGCGTCTGTTCCTCTCCGCCCCGGCGCCGCCCCGCGCCTTGCCCTCTGCGCCGGGAAGCTGGCGGGCGCCGAGACAGGGCGACTTCGCTAACGCAGTGGGCGCATATCCCGATGCCTCGCGGCCTCGGGCTGCGTCGACTCGACCGCCTCCAGGTCGTCGGGTCGGCGTCTGCGGGCTGTTCCACGGGCCCGTCGCTGCCCCGCAGTCGGGCCCGCGCGCCCCTGTCCCCCTGTCCTTGATCGCTGTGAGGCGGTGGCCCAGTGCTGCCCAAAACCTGCGCTTGAAAACAAGCCTGGGGGCCCTTGCAATGACCCGTGCCCGCCTGTCTGCAGCGTCTGCGATTAGCTCGAAGCCGAGGGCCTCTCTGGCGCCCCCTAGCCGCCCTGCCCCCAGCAACTCGGCTCCTCCGCCCTCGCCGGCCCCGCGTGGAAACGCTGCGGCGCGCGGGAGGGCCGCGCCCCGCCCCGCCCACGCGGGCGCGCGGATGCGCCGCGCGCGAACGCCTGCAAGGCCTGCCATGAGGCCTGCGCGCCTCGAGAGGGGGGCGGCCCGCGAGGCGCACTTAGCCCCCTGGAGACCGGCGCGGCCTCGCCCCCCGAGCAGCAAGCCGCGCGTGCGCGCGACAGCCCGCTGTCCCGATCGCGCTAATATCTGACAGATAGGAGCGCGCGCGGCCCCGAAGCCACGCCCGCCCCTCATGGCGCACATCTCCCCGCGAGCGCGCGCGCCTGTCCCCCGCGCGATGGCGGGCCCTTCCGCGGCGCAGAAGATCGCTGGCCCGCGCGGCCCCGAAGCCTTGCCCGGGCCCACCCCTTCCACGAGGGCGCGCCCCCCCCCGCCGGCGAGAGCCCCTCCTCCGCCCGCGGCGGCGCAGGGGGTCGCGCGAACGAGCGGGCGCAGTCAGAGCGCGAGGGCGCCCGCCGGCCCGCCGGCAAAGGTTCGAAACTGCCGGGGGCGCGCCCGGGAGCGCAGCCGAGCGCGGCCCGCCTGCTCCCGAACGAAGCGGCCGCCGTGCTCGCGACGCCCTTCAAGCCCCGCGGCGGCCGTCTCGCGCGCTGCCCCGCCCGCGAGGCCCCCGCCCCGATGGGCCGCGCGGAATCGCGCGACCAGCTGGCGCCGCGAGAAACCGCCGCTCGGCGGCCCGCTGCCCGCGGCTGCCCAGCGGCCATTCTCTCTGCGCGATAGCGGCGGCCCGGCCTGACCCGCCGCCTTGGGCGCCGCTGCCGCCGCCCCCCAAGCGCCTCGTCGGGCCCCGCCGACCTCCTGATCGGGACTTGCTGCCGCGCTCGATCGGGCCCTTCTACGGCCGCCTTCTAGCATTCAGGCGCGCCCCCATCGCTTCGAGAGCAGGCCCTTCCCCCTGCCCGCCTCAGCCGCGGGCGGGCCACCCTCGGGGCCCGAGATATCGAAGAGCGGGGGCAGATAATGGATCGCCCTGTCGCGCTCTGCTTCGGAGCAATTCTCGGGCGGGCGGCGCGCGCGGCAGTTGCCCGCGCACTCGCCCTGAGAGAGGCGCGCGCCCTCGCAGAGGAGCAACCCTGCGAGTTCCCGAGCCCGAGCGCGTCTTCGTCGATCCTCCGAGGACGCGCGCGCGTGCTTGATGGGCTTCTGGCGGGCCCCCCGGTTGCCAGAATCGTCGGCGCCCACGCTTGCGCCTCGCCCCCTCTCCGACGGCCCCCATCCAGCGCGATCCCTTCTCCTTTCGCGGCGTCGATGACGGACGCCAGCGCGGCCGTCCTCAGCGGCGCCAGGGCGCCCTCATGCCAAGGGGCCCCGTGGCCGGCAGAGACCATCTCCGCGTGGCCCTCTGGGCTGCGCTCCTGGGGCTGCTCGATCTGCCTCGCCTTTTTGTTGGCGCTGGCCATCCCCGTGACGCCCTTCGCGATGATGGGTCGCGACGGGGAGACGATGGCCCGGCGCGCGCCCCCCGCCCCCCGTCGGCGCCCATCTCCGACCGCCCGCGGCCGCGCCTCTTGCTCGCGCGCCCCCGGCGCCCTCCCGGGCGGCGGCCCCCGGCTCGATCAGCTGCGCCGGCGCCGCGCAGCGCGCCCAAGCCTCCGGCTTGAGGGGGGCCGTCTTGCAGCGGGGGCGCGCGCGCATGATGCGGCTATCCCAGCCCGGGGCAATCGCGAAGTCTGCTGCAGCCCCCAAACGTTCGCCCTTTAAGATAGCCTCGTAAATCTTCTTCAAATCTGCTCTAGGCACCGCTGGATCGTCCTTGCTTGGCTTGTGCTTCGCGAACTGCGCCCCCATGGTAAGCTCGATGGACTTGGTCTGCTGCGACGGCAAATCCTGTTCCTTCGGGCAACCGGCCCCCGGTCGGGGCCAAAAGTCCGCGTCGTCGTGCTGATTGCTACCGTGGCCCCTGCAGAACATGCAGCGGCGCGGACGGACTCGACTACTCGGCCTTGCCTTGGCGACGCGCTCGCGCGCGACGACCGAACCGACATCTGGAACCCCCACCATCCTTGTAGGCCAAGACGAGAGAATATACGACGCCGCGCTCTCCCTCAGAGTGGCAGCGCTTGACTGGGTTGGTCGCGACAACGTGGCCGCCCGCAAACATGTGCGCGCAGTCGGCTTCCTTGATCAAAGGCGCCAAGTTAATTGTGGCCGCGATCTCTGTGGTCACGTGTCCTCCTCGGATATCTTGCTAATCCTCTTCGCCCGAGTGGGAGCTCGACGAGAGGAGTGCCCTGTGGGCCTGGCGGCCTGGCTCCCGCCCAAGAGGGTCGCATGGGGCGCTGCCGCACGTTCTCGACCCAACCAGGCGGCCTGGCCCCTGTCATGGAGGGTCGCGCGGAGCGCTGCCGCTCGCTCTCGACCTTCCTCCGCGGCCCCCGCTTCGGCCTCCTCTGCCTTCCTCCTGCGCGCTGGCGCGGCGGGGGCCAGCGAGGGTGATCTCTTCGTGTTCGCCGCGACGCGGCGTCGAAGGCGCGGGCCCAGGGGCCAGCAGCAGCGCCCAATCGCCATTCAGAAACGGCCGATCGCCTGAGCTGAAATGGCCACGAACGTCGGGCAACGAAGAGGATGCACATTCGTTTTGGCACACGGGGGCTCACACTAAGGAGTAGCCCTCTCGCCCGAGACCTCCTCGCAAACCATTCCATTAAGTGAAGACCAGCTAAATCGAAAATTGCGCGCGCCCGGTGCAATCCCAGGGGGGAGGCCCTTGGCACCCCCCCCCTCCCCCCCTTGCTTTTCGCCCCTCGAAAGATGCGCCCCACCCCCTCCGCTTCTTGCTCCGGAAGCCACCCCCGCTCCCTGTCCAGGGGGGGGGGCTCAGCAAATCCCACCAGCCCTCTGGGCGTAGGTGGTTTAGGGAGTTTCCTCTTCCAACCTCCTTCTTCCCCTTCGGGGATGGTTTTATCACTGTTTCCTATTAATAAACACCCCCTCCCCAAAGCGACTGGGGGCCGACCAGGGTCCATGGCGACGCCCCCCCACCATCCCTTGTAATTACCCCGGCAAAGCAACCTAACAGCGATGTGTAGAAGCATATCTGGAAGCACGCCCCCCCCTTCCGACCCCCCCTGCCCCCCCCCCCCCCCCCCACCCCCCCCCCCCCGACCCCTCCTGAACCCCAGGGGGGAATTGCGCCTTGACGGCGGGGAGCCCGAGGTGTGTTCTGGGAACACGAAGAACACGAAGTGGGCTACAGTTGGCCCCCCCCATTCAAAAAGAACAACTTGATCCAAATTATTCGGGCGGGCCCCTGGGCAAACTGGGAGGGGCTCGCGAAGAGTCCGGAAGTGCAGCGCCTCACCACCAGGGCGAATGAGACGCTGTGCCGGGCTGCGAAGGGAGGTGGGAAGGGAAAGGAAGGAGGAGCAGGGAGTCCAGAATAGGAAATACGACGGCGCATTGGCAGCACCACAGCTCGGGTGGGCAAGTGGGCAACATTCCCATGCCTGCCAGTCACGCGCGGCAGGATTGCAGCGTGGAATGCCGAAGGCATCAACCTGGACCTGCCGCACAAGCTGCACGAGTTAATTAAGCGCATGCGCGATATGGACGCTGCGGTGCTCTGTCTCCAAGAGACGCACTGCAGAGGGTCACCAGTATTCGATGTCGAATGTGTTTCTTTTTATTTTGTCTGGGAAAAAGGAGGATGAGCGAGAATTTGCGGGAGTGTGGTTTATTGTATCTCCTTGGGCAAAGCACGCCGTTAAAGGTTACATACAACAGAGTAGTCGGATTGCATCTCATCGCATTCGGGTCACTGGTGGAGTGTTGACATTAATTACAGCATGCGCTTGGACAAATGTGCGCGACTATGACGCACGACGCGAATACTACACCGACCTGGCCACATTCGCTGATAAATGCCGGCGCCATGGACCTACAATCATACTTGGAGATTTCAACGCCCGGTTACTGGAGCAACGTGCTGGCGAGGAGGACGTCATAAGAGAGTTTGTCTTTCAAAATCTTTTCTCTTCGTGGAGCCCCACCTCCAATCGGGAATTGTTGACTGAACTATGCCATTCGCTGGAGGCGTGTATTGCTAATACGTATTTCGAGCACTCCGACAAGCATGCAGTCACGTACCACGACATTGGCATAGAACCGTCTAGCACCATTGTGCCCGGACATTTCGAGCAGCTGGATCACGTTCTCGTGGCAAGAATTTGGATGCCTTGCATTTGTGATGTATGGAGCTGTCGCGATCGCCATCTCCAGTCCCATCATGTTATCACCGTCGTCGATCTGAACATCAACATACCGAAGAAGAGCCGCAGGCCGAAAAAGCATAATTACGAGATGAGGGCGCCTCAGAACCGCGCCACAAAATATACATCATTTTCTGGGGGAGTGGCAAAAGCAGCCGGCGCGCGCTTCGCTGGGCGAGCACGCCGCTGCAGTATCGCAATGCATGCTGGAATCTGCAGCCGCTTGTGTTCCTGTGCAGGAGACACCGCGCCTGTGCCCGTGGATATCCGATCGCACGCTCCACCTTATCGAAGAGTGGAACCGGGCGCGACACTTGGGAATGGCATCGAGTTGCACGCCGGAGAAACACCTCAACAAATTGATCCGGCAGTCCGCAAAGGCTGACAAAAAACTTTGGCTCACAGAGGGCATTTCGAGGAACGGCTGGGGCACGATCAAAGCATTGCGGAAAGGACCTTCGCATAATTGTGGACGGCTCCGGGACGCCGACGGCCGATTGGTAGATGCTGCCGAAAGGGCTGACACTATGGCAGACTATCTTGAGAAAGGCCAGTGGCGCCCTCCCCCTGCCGGGTCACATTTTCTTGACGACAATGCGGAAGAAGGGCATTTGCGAATAGAAATGGGGCCCGTCACAGTCGAAGAAGTAACGCGGGCAATTAAATACTTACGTACTCGGCGCGCTGCGGGTACGGATGGCGCGCCGCCAGAGCTATGGGGAGCACTACTGGGCGACCAGGCGGCGCTGAACATCTTGACGTCGTTGTGAGGCGCATGCTGGGAGCAGAAAGACATCCCGCAGAGATGGAGAGATGCACCGGTGGTTGCCATTTTCAAAAAAAGGTGACGCGTCACAGCCTTCGAACTACCGGCCGATCTCTTTACTCACAGTTGGGTATAAGACACTCGCGAGCATACTGCTACAAAGGATGAAACATGGAGGCTGCCCGTGCCCGATTGAGAGCCGATACAGGGGGGGCAGAGCGCGAGCTCTCTTTCGGTAGCGGGCGTCATCCAATGTGCGCGTGTACGTCAGTGGGCGCTGCTGGAGCGACTTCTTGGTGGCGAGGTCCTTGTTTTCGACCAGGGGAACCTCGATGCCTCTGCCTTCCAGCGACTTGATCCAGCACAGCTCGCACAGCCACCTGCAGCTTCGGCCTTGCATATGCGCTTGGGCGCGGTTCTGCGCCAGTAGCTCCCTTGTGTCGTCGTCCTCCCAGGTGCCTGCCGAGCCTTGCAACCCGGTGCTCAGGCATCCGTCGCAGTCGAAGCTGCCGACCTGCTGCCTGGTACGGAACCTGTCGTCGCTCACCTTGGGTGGGTTGAGTGATATGCCGGGGGCCGGGGATGCCGGGGAGTCTTCGTCCAGGCGCTTGTTGGACATGGCGATTCCCCCGCCGATGTACTCCAGGTCTGCCATAATGTCAGGGCGGCCGAGCCCATCCTCGGCCCCGCTGAGCTCCTTGCGTAGTGTGCAGATGGAGCTCAGGGACCTGATGTCGGCCAGCTTGACGATTGCTTCGAGGGCCCTCATGGGGGCCTCCAGCGTGAACTTATAGTCCAGCATCCCTGCCCACGCGGCTGGGCACCCGTAGTTGGTCGCAACCTGATGGTGGTGGGCGTAGGTAGCGAGCGTGCTGATATGCATGACGGTGCCCTCCATCTTCCCGTGGCTGCGAATTGTGCCCTGTACTCTTTGTGGACATTCTGCCGGGGGAAGCAGAGGCCCATGGCTGCCTCGATGATGTCTCCCGTGGCCTCGGCGAATCCTTCGGAATCGTTAGGATTCCCTAGGAATCCTTATGGATTCCATTGGATCCTAAGGCCGTTGCCACTGCGTCTGTCATTGCGAATGCGACTGCGACTGCGAGAACAGAATTCTACAACTGGACTATCACCTGAATCTTAAGGGGAATGCTTCCAAATATGTTTATACACATCGCTGTTAGGTTGCTCAGCCGGGATAATTTCTATTGTGGCGACCCGAGAACATGATTGCCGGTGTGTGGCGACCCTACAAAGGGATTTTTGTGGCGGATCTACAAGCAGATTTTCTTGGTGGCAGCCTTACACAAGGATCCCTTTCGTGGCGACCCCACAGAAAGATTCCTTTTGTGGCCGTTGTGGTGACTTTACACAACAAGTATTCCGTGGCGGTGTGGCGGCTTACAAAAGGACTCCTTCTGCGGCGGCCTTACAAAAGGATTCCTTTCGAGGCGGCAATACAAAAGGATTCCTTCTGTGGCAGACTTCCCAAAGGATTTCCTTTCTGGCGGTCTTCGCGGCGCGAGGGCCGGCGCAGCGCCAGCACCCGAACAGTCGAGAATGCAACAAAAAAACATATTTGTATATATATATGTACATTTTATATATATATATATATATATATATATATATATGTGTGTATACATGTATCTATGTATGTATGTACATGTATATGTACATAGAAAACCATGACATCCCAAAACATCCATGCGAACAAACCTACAAAAAAAGAACGCCAATGTTTTTACTATCTGACCGCAACAAAGCCTGTGAAAACATAGGGCTTCGTGACGTCGAAGTGCTAAAACCTTATGTTTTCACAGTTTTCGTTGCGATCAGATTGCAAAACATGTTGTTTTTCCTTAGGCTTTGCACCTTTTTCGCACGGATTTCTTGGGATGTCATTGGTTTTATGTTTTTTGGGTACTTGCTGTATGTTTTTGCATTTTCGCGTACCCGCCCCTGGCGACGCGAGGGCCGGCGCAGCGCCAGAACGCGAACAGGCGAATATGCAAGAAAGGCAGCTTTGTTTTAAAGAAAGACAGCTGCAATAACTACGGCAAAGCAAAGTGTTTGCGATATGATCGCCGCAATACTTTTGAAAACACAAGGTTTGGGCACCTCGACGTCACGATCAAAACATGGTTTTCCTTAGGTTTTGCAGCTTTGTCGCATGGATGTCTTGGGATGTCCTTGGTTTCCTTTATTTTTGTCGTATGTTCTGCATTCTCGCGTGCCCGCCCCTAGCGGTGTTGTTTTCTTTTGTGGCGTCCTTACAAGAGGATTATTTTTGTGGCGGCCTTTCAAAAATATTCCTTTTGTGACGGCCCTTGCAAAAGGATTCCGTTAAAAGCGGACTTACAACAGGATTCCCTTTTGTGGCGGCCTTCCAGAAGGATTTGTTTGAGGCGGCCTTACAATAAGATTTGCGTTGTCGCGGCGTTGCCAGAAAAATCGCTTCTGTGGAAATCGATTAGCCGAAAAATGAAAACGGAATGGCGAAGCCTTTACTACGGAACAGGAGCGCCAGGCTCATCCAGCCTCTTCCCCCAAGACCCCCCCCTTTAGCCAGGAATCCCCAGCTACAAAATCCGAACAAAAGGGAGGGGAGAGGGGGTAGCTTTGGAAGCCCCCGTCCTTTGAAAGGGGAGCCTGGGCTGACCCGGGCCCCAAAAAGGGGGAAGGGTAGGGGGGAGCTTACAAGCCCCCCTGCTTTAGCTAGGGCCCCCCCCCGGCTAAACAAATCCCACATAGGGGGAAGGGGGGGTAGCTTCGGAAGCCCCCCACCCCTTCCAAGGGACGGGGGGTAGCTTGAAGCTGGGGCCACCCTTGCAGTGAGAAGTTTGCTACGAGCGCGTTCTGTCATACTTCTGCAATTTACCATGAGACGTCCTGGAAGTCCCCAAACTCAGTAAAAAACCCTCTCTACCGAGACTACTTCCCAATTCAATCATATTGTCCGAGACCCAACTACGACGCCAACGGTTCCCGCTTGATACGATCTCACAAAGTACTTCGAGACGCCCTGGTCAGAGAGGGCCCAAAACTCAGGAACGGAGCTCTCGCTCGAGACCTCCTCGCAATTGGGCCAAGCTGTTGGAGGCCCGACGACGCCGCCGTCGTCCTCGTCGTCGTCTCCTCCTCGTCTGCTCCTCTCCTCCGCCCTGGGTCCTCTGCCTCCTGCCCGCGGCCCCGCGCCCAGCGCCTCATCAGGTACTCCCGGAGGGGGACCTCCATCAGCTTGGCGTGCTCCTGCGAGGACCAAACGACCATGAGTCGGCGGCGAGCGAGGGGGGGAACTGAGAAGAAGAAGGTCTTCTGAGAAGGGATCTTCTGAGAAGGCGGTGGGACTTCTCAGAAGCCCTCGCGCCTTCTGACAAATTTGCTGTGTCTTCGGGGAAGGCTTAGAAAACTTCTGAAGGCCTGGGAACTTCTCAGCCTTCTGACAAAGTCCGCCCCTTCTCACTTCCCCCTTGGGCTCGCCGCCGAATGATGAGACGAGACGCTCGACGAGACGTGACGCTCATATGAGCCGGTACGCGGTCAACCGTGGCACGGAGCGGGGAGGGGGCAGCGGCGCCGAGCTTTCGTGCTGGGCTGGGAGCACACTGGCAGTGCAGCGCGAGCATGATGCAAGATAGCCTCACCAGGGCTGTCCAGACCTCACCCCGATCGGGTCTCTCGCATACCCCATCGGATCGAGACGCCTGCCGGCACGACGGCAACCTCCGACCAATCGATAGTGGTACCCCTACATCAGAGAGAGCGTGTTTCGCGGGCGCTTGCTTGGACAAAAATGCCCACCCACCCCCCTCCAAAAATCCCAAGGGGGTGGGGGAGGGGCCCCCCCGTCGGAACCAAGGGGGGGGCTAAAAGGCCCCCCCCCTGGGTTCGAAACCGGGGTGGGGGGAGGGGGAAAGGTGACGACGGAAAGACGACGACGACGAAGACGACGACGACGGCGGCGACAACGCCGACGACGAAGACGACAACGACGACGACGACGGCGGCGGCGACGACGGCGGCAAGGACGACGACGACGACAGCAACGACGACGACGACGAAGACGAAGACGACGGCGGCGACGGCGACGACGACGACGCGCGGGGCGTCCAATTGAGCGGTGCACTAAATGTAGATGACAACGCATATGAACAACAACAACCAAAGCTGGTCGGGCCAAGAAAACGAGGAAACGAGAAAACGAACACAGGTCTGGGAAACCTAGACCGCGACCCGAGAAAACGAGAAGACTAGAAAACTGGGCTAGGGTCGAAGAAAACGAGGCCGCGACCCAAAGGCCGAGATAACTAGAAAACGAAAAAACGGACCGAGGTCGGAGAACCCGCAACCGCGACCCAGAGGCCGACAACACGAGAAAATCATAAAACGACCCAAGGTCAGAGAAAGCGGGACCGCGACCCAGGGGCCGAGACAGCGAGAAAACGATACAACGACCCAGGGTCGAGAAAGCGAGACCGCGACCCAGAGGCCCAGAATATGGTAAAACTATAAAACGAGCCAAGATCAGAAAACGGGACCGCGGCACAGGGGCCGAGAACACGAGAAAACGAGAAGCACAATCAAGGTCGAGAAAACGAGACCGCGACCCAAAATGCAGAGAAAACTACAAAACTAGAAGAAGACCCGCAGTGGGAAAAAAAACGAGACCGAGACCCAGGGGCCTAGAAACTGAACAAGTCAGAAAACGAACCATGGTCGGAGAAACCGAGTCCGCGACCGAGGGGTAGAGAAAACGAGAAAACGAACCAAGGTCGGAGAAAACAAGGCCGCGACCCAGGGGCTGAGAAAACGAGAAACTTAGAGACCAAACCATCACTCAAATCAACCACCCTCCTCTGTCCTGCCTGATGCTCCCCCTGGCTCCTCCTCCCTTCCCCTCCTCCTCCTTTTGGCTTGAGCTCCTGTCAAGATTTACACGTGCGCCCGTTCCCCAGCCCGCATTCCAGCTCTCGCGCAGGTGGGGAGAGGGTGAGGAGGGGAAGGCCGCACGAAGCCTTCCGTCGCTCGTTCGACAAGACAGTCCTCATCTTCGAGCTTCGATGGGTGAGGAGGGGGAGGAGGCGGAGGGGGAGGCAAAATGGGACGAAGCCGGGAAGAGGCGGTCAAGAAGTGGAGGGGGAGGGGGTGGAGGAGGAGGCGGAGGAAGAGGAAGAGGCGGGGGAGGAGAAGGAGGAGGGGCAGGAGGAGAAGGCGGAGGAGGAGGAGGAGGAGGCGGCGCCAGGGACGAGAACACAGAGGAAGCGGAGGCTCCTCCGACAAGGCCTTCAGAGAAGAGTTCTGAGGGCGCCCCCAGCCCCCAGCTTCTGGTGGCATGGCAACTTCCAAGCTTGCAGTCCCTGGAGGCCACGGGGAGCCTTCGCAGGCCGCTGAAACCTGCGGCGGCCCAAAACCAAACAGCTTCTTTGCCCCGTGAGCGTCAAGAATGCTCACACACGCTTCGAATTCCGAGACCCTTGAACACCTGCAGAGGGAATACGACAACCGCCATGAACTTAAGAACTCACATCTTCGATGGATTGTTCTTCCAGCGCGCAGGCTCCGGAACTCTCGAATCCCTGCCCGGGAGCCAGTCGTTATCCGCCACCGTGCCTGCGGCACGTTGAGGCGTGGAAGAATGCCAAGGGCTACCTGGCAAGGTCTCTGCAATATTCTGAGGGACCCCTCCCACCCACCGGGTCACGCTTCCTGACTGCGTCGCCGCTACTATGGGGGGTGGTCCCTGGGCTTCCATGACTGCCCAGAAGACCTCCCAGACGGTCCAAGAGGGCACCGAGTCGCCGAACGATCACTCGAAGACGCCCAAGATGGCCCCTAGATGGCACAAGAGGCCCCCAAGAGGCCTCCCCAGAGGGCCCCAAGAGGCACAAATCATTGATTCCCTTCGGTTTTTGACAGATTTGGGCGTTCTTGCCCTTTCAGCTTTCCGATGCTCCAAAACGACCCAAGAGGCCCCCAAGACCACCCCAAAACGACCCAAGAAACCTCCAGGAGGGCCCCAAGACGGCCCAAGAGCGCCCCAAGACGGCCCAACAGGCGCCCAAGACTGTCAGTTTTTCATGGAGAGGGCTGTGGAATGCGAAAGTGGATAGGTTTTCATGTAAGCGGGGCCGATGTAGGCGTCAGTCTCGAGCCGTTCGGTGGTGGCCCCAGGTCGCGCAGCTTCGAGCGTCACGACCACGATGAGCGCGGCGCGCGGCTAGCTTCGCGCCCACGCGCCGCCTCCCTGCAAAAGAGGGCGCCTTTGGACCGCGACGCGCGAAACGCGGTTATCTGGGTCACCTAGTTTCGCGCCCCGCGCCCCGCGATTCGCGGTCATCTTCGCGCCCCGCGATTCGCGGTCATCTTCGCGCCCTCGCGCCAACGCCCTGGAAAATGGCGCCTCTCCAACCCGGGCCGCGATGCGCAGAAAGCAGCCCCTGGAGGCCAGGAGCGGCAGAGGCCCGGGGGGACCTGTCTATCCGCCTCGCACAACGGTGCCCAGGGGCCTCCTAAAGGGTCGGAAAATTGCACCGCATCGGCGCCGCATCGGGGCCGCATCGGCGATGCATCCGCGAGGTCGGCGATGCATCGGCGAAGCCCGCGCGTAGAAAATCGGGTTTCACATCGAGCCGCTGAGACGCCCGGGGGGACCTCCCCGGACCTCTCCCGGGGTGCTTTCTGACCAAAATTTCGAAGCGAATCCAGCGGTGGCGACGAGGGCCTCCCATGAGATCCGGCGTAGCGAAAAAATTGCAACGTAAGAGAAAATCACGCCCGGAGAGCCCTAGACCCGACCTCTCTCAGTCGTTTTCCGAACCCGATCGATATGTGAGGGTCCCAGGGCTAGGAAAAATGAGAAAACGCTCTTTGTGAAAAAAATGCACCACCAGGATCCCATGAGGGTCACAATTAAGCACAATGGTCTTGATTAAGCACTGTGTCTTAATTAAGACCGTGTCTTAAGTAAGCACTGTGGTCTTAATTAAGCATTGCGGTTTATGATAGAGGCGTGGTGTTTATTCAAGACCTCACAGAATTCTGGATCTTATTTACCAGCGCGCGCGGGTGCTTAAATAAAGTCCACTGGGGTCTCAAATAAGGACCGGGGGGCCTTTGCTTTGCTTGCGCGGCACAAGCGTAAGGTTGACCTTGCGGGTTTGTCTCGTACTTGTCGATGTTGAATATTATTACTTCTAAAGAATAATTATTGTTGGGCCCCCTGGTGCACGCCCCCCCTGCGCCGCCTAGGCCGCAGCTACATTTTCATCATTTTCGTGAGGAAGCCTCAGGTAAAACGATGTGATCCAGATCCGGTTGTTTTGTTGTAATCCGTTTTCCCTTGCAAAAAACACTATAAAATGACATTTCTTGTTCTAATATAATCAAATTTCAAGAATCCCTTGCAAAAAATAAGGTAAAGTGGACATTCGCGCGCGCAAGACGAAATCCTTCCAAAAGCTTAGTGTTCGGAGCGATTTTAACATAAAAACATCAAAAAACCAATGGTTTTTCAACAAAAAAATGTCAAAATCTCATCCCGCGCGCTCTTGCGGATTCGTAGGAAACCCAACACTTTTTAAACATTTCTGTCAAACGGGCTTTTGCGAGCAACTTTTTCGAACTTCTGCGACAACGGTTGCGCACCTGCCAGGGCCATCATCCCTGTCAAATAATACCATGCGGGACACATTCGTTTTTTCTTCGCGCGCGCACGCCGAAATCTCCAGGCGTGCAAGCGCCGTTCCCGCCCCTCCTTCCGTTTTCTCTTCTCTCCTTTCCTCCTTGTCCTGCTCCTCCTCCTCCTCCTCCTCCGGCGGGGGGCGTGAGGATCCGGCATCGCTCACAACCATCGGGACAACCATCGGGACAACCATCGGAACAACCATCGGGACAACCATCGGGACAATCATCGGGACAGTCATCGGGACAACGATCGGGACAAGCACAACCATCAGGACAACCATCGGGACAATCATCGGGACAACGATCGGGACAACCACAACCATCAGGACAACCATCGGGACAACCATCGAGACAACCATCGGGACAACCATATCCTCTCTCTCTTGTGTATTCCCACATCCCTCAGGAATTTGCCCTAAAGATGTGATCAACTATCTTGTGAGTACGTATCATGTGTATCATGTGTATCATGTACCATATGCATCATATGCAACAGATGTTCTGTGGAAGGCTTCACAACTTCTGTGGGTTAACAAGGCTTAACAACTTCTGTGGGTGTACGAACG